CATGTCCTGTGTGCCCGTGTTCTGTGTCCATGTGTTCCATGTCCTGTGTGCCTGTGTTCCATGTCCCATGTCCCATGGCCCCCATGCCCTGTGTCCCGTGTCCTGTGTACTATGTCCTGTGTCTCATGTCCCCCGTGTCCTGTGTACTATGTCCTGTGTCTCTTGTCCCCATGCCCTGTGTCCCGTGTCCATGTGTCCCATGTCCTGTGTCCCGTGTGCCCATGGCCCATGTCCCGTGGCCCCCATTTCCCGTGTCCCATGTCCTCATGGCCTCCATGCCCTGTGTCCCATGTGCCTGTGTCCCATGTCCTGTGTGCCCGTGTTCCGTGTCCATGTGTTCCATGTCCATGTGTTCCATGTCCTGTGTGCCTGTGTTCCGTGTCCCCTGGCCCCATGCCCTGTGTCCCGTGTCCATGTGTCCCCGTGTCCCCATGCCCTGTGTCCATGGCCCCCGTGTCCTGTGTACTATGTCCTGTGTCTCTTGTCCCCATGCCCTGTGTCCCATGTCCATGTGTCCCATGTCCTGTGTGCCTGTGTTCCGTGTCCCACATCCCCATGCCCTGTGTCCCATGTGCCCGTGGCTCATATCCTGTGGCCCCCATGTTCTGTGTCCCGTGTGCCTGTGTCCCATGTCCTGTGGCCCCGTGACCCCATGTCCTGTGGCCCCGTGACCCCATGTGCCTGTGTCCCATGTCCCGTGGCCCCCATGTCCTATGTCCCATGTCTATGTGTCCCATGTGCCTGTGTCCCATGTCCCGTGGCCCCCATGTCCTATGTCCCGTGTCTATGTGTCCCATGTCCTGTGGCCCCGTGACCCCATGTCTCGTGTCCCATGTCCTCATGGCCCCCATGTCCTGTGGCCCCATGACCCCATGTGCCTGTGGCCCATGTCCCGTGGCCCCCATGTCCTATGTCCCGTGTCTATGTGTCCCATGTCCTGTGTCCCATGTCTTGTGTCCCCGTGACCCCATGTCCTGTGTCCCGTGTCCTCCTGGCCCCTGTGTCCTATGTCCCGTGTCTATGTGTCCCATGTCCTGTGGCCCCGTGACCCCATGTCCTGTGTCCCGTGTCCTCCTGGCCCCCGTGTCCTGTGGCCCTGGTGTTCCTGGAGGGCCTGGTGCTCCTGTAGCTGATTTGCAGCCTTCCCAATTCTGAATCAGGCCACACTTTTTTAAATTTTTTTTATTTTAAAGCATTTATTTGTGAGGTAGAGAGAGAGAAACAGAGAGAGAGACAGACAGAGAGAGGCAGAGAGGCAGAGAGAGAGGGAGACAGAGAGGCAGAGACAGACAGAGAGAGGCAGAGAGAGAGACAGAGAGAGACAGAGAGGCAGAGAGAGGCAGAGAGAGAGCGAGAGCGAGCTCTTCCGTCCGCTGCTCACTCCCCGAATGGCTGCAGCGGCTGGAGCAGGGCCAGGACAAGGCCAGGAGCCAGGAGCTTCCCCAGGTCTCCCATGGGTGCAGGGGCCCAAGGACCTGGGCCGTCCTCCTCTGCTTTCCCAGGCCACAGCAGAGAGCTGGGCCGGAAGTGGAGCAGCCGGGCTGGAAGCGGCGCCCACATGGGTGCTGGCACCGCGGGTGGCGGTCTTAGCCGCTACCACAGCGCCGGCCCCTGGGCTTCCTCTTGTTTCCGGAAGCCTCCGTGCCAGGTCCAGGAGGCCTTGTGTGCGAGCTGACCTTGCCGGTGCCCCGCCCCGGGGCTGCTGGTGGTCGCGGTGTCAGCGCCAGCCGTGGCGTCCCCGTTACCCTCCAGGGCCCCAGGGCTGTAGGGGTCCCCAGTGCACGTGAGGTCGTCCTGCCTTGGGTGGGCCCCAAATCCCGCGGCTGCTGCCCCCATGAGACAGGACGGGGACAGAGTGGGCTGCCCAGGAGGCTGCTGGGACCCACCCAGTGGACCTGAGCCCCAGCTGTGCCGAGAGCCCCGTGCAGGCCATAGGCAGACGCCATCTCGGCCCAGCCCTGGCTTCCCCTCGGCTCTCGGTCAGGGGTTCGTCTGAGTGTGCTCTGGGGGTGCCCAGCCGGCCAGCGGACGCACCCTAGCCTGGGAGCGATGACGGCAGTGGCCACGTCCCTGTTCCCCGGGCCACCCACAAGTTGGCCTGTGAGGCTGGCACCCGGCGGGGTGGGCTCTGGGGGGGCCTGAGCCCCTGGGGTGTTGGCCGGGCCAGGGGTCACTGTCAACACTAAGACAGCTGTGGCTGGGGCAGTCACGGCCCAGGGTGCAGAGGGACGAAGAGAGACGGCGGGGAGGCTGAGTGGGGTGGGGCGGGCAGCCGTGAGTGGGGGGGGGGGGCAGGCAGCCGTGAGAGGGGCGGGGCAGGCAGCCAGCAGGTCGAGTGGGGGTGATGCTGTTCCTGGAAGAGTGGGGGGCTCAGGGGCTCACCTGCCTGTCTGGCTTCCTGGGGGGGGTGGGAGAGGAGCGGGAGCAGAGGCTGGGGCGGAAGTGGGCGTGGGGGCCACGGGAGGGCCTGGGTCTGAGCAGCCAGGAGCCAGGTGGCCTCACCTGCGTGGGAGGAGCCGGGGTCTGATTTGAGCTCAGGGTGCGCAGGTGTGTGGGGCCCGCCGGGGGGCGGAGCTGGGCAGGAGCGGGCCGGGGTCTGCTGGCCGCGTCTGCCCGGGGGCCTCTGCTGCCTGGGCCTGGACCCCTGGCTCTCTGCCTCTGTCTGAGGGGCAGAGACCCTCCAGGCTGGACACCCTGGAGACTTCCTGGAAAGCCCGAGCGGGAGCCGGCAGTGCGGGGCAGTGGGGACGCCCACGTCTGGGTGCCGACTCCTGGCCCAGCTGTGGCCATCTGGGGGGTGGGCCAGCGGGTGGGGGTCCCCTGTACAGTCCTGGGCGTGGGGGAGGCAGTCGGGCACACGCAGGGCCCGAGGGCGGCGGCCGGGGTCCGCTGGGGGTCCGCGGGGCAGGGCCGGGGGAGGTGCAGCTCAGATGGGCCGCGCCCCGCCCCCGCCCCCCGCCCCCGTCCCCCCGCGCCCGTCCCTGCCCCCCGCCGGAGCCCCTGGCCCTGGCCACGAGGCCTGCGAGGGTCGGGGCCGGGCCAGCGTCTCCTGTCCTCGCAGACTCCTCCGGGAGCAGTGGATCCGCGCCAAGTACGAGCGCCAGGAGTTCCTGCTGCCCGAGAAGCAGGAGCCGTACTCGGCAGGTGAGTGCCGGCACGGGGAGGGCTCAGGCCACGCCCACCCGGTGCTGCCTGGGCGAGCCGTGGTGGTGGGCGATGGGGCAGGGCTCGGGCCGTGAACTCGGAGCCCTGAGGTCAGGCGTCCCGGGTCAGACTCAGCCGCCTCCTGCGGTGAGCAGGCCCAGCTTGGGGGTGGGGGCGGCGAGCACCGGGCTGGCCGGGTGGTGGGCGGCTCCCAGCTGAGCCCAGACCCTCCCTCCCTGCATGGGGAGGGGGAGGAGCCGGGGCACCCACTGCCTGGACCCCCGCCGTCTCCCTCCGGCGAGCCCCGGTTGTGTGGCCTCACCGCAGAGCCACGTCACCACGTGGCCATTCCTGCCCCGGCACAGAAAATCCAGCTCAGCTGGGCGTGGGCAGAGCGCTGTGGACCGGCGTGCGTGTCCGCTCCGGCTCCAGGCGCCGGGCTGGCGGTGCCAGGAGTGGGTTTTGGTGTCTCTGGGCCAGCGCCCACCTCCTGGCCGTGGCTCCGCTCTGGCAGTACTTGGTGCTGCGGGGAAGGTGGCGCAGGAGTCTGGTTGGACACGCGGCGTCCTTGGCCACGGGGCTGCCGCTGGCACTGGGAGGGACCCTCCCGAGAGAGACGAGCCCGGCTGTTTGGGGTGGGGGGCGGCAGCAGCGCCTGTGGCTTGCGTCCATCCCAGGGTGGGGGGACTCTGTGGGCTCTCAGGAGTCCTGGGCCCCCAGGTCATGCCATGCACGGCCCCTGGGCCCCTCCATGCCCCTGGCCTTTGGAACCCCTGCCGGGCAGACGGCCGCCCCCGGTGCTGGGGGCCAGTTTGCTGTCACAGGCGTGGCCGGGGCGGGCGCAGGTGGGCACAGCAGGTGCAGCGTTGCAAGTCTGTCCAGGCGGCTTATGCCACAGGCCCTGGAGAGCCAGGGACGGAGTGTCCCCGCGTCCAGGCTGCGGCCTGGCCCTGTGGGTCACAGGCATGGACGTGGGGTCTGCACATGCCCTCCTCGGAGAGAGAACTCACTGTGGGGGTCTACCTGCCTCCTGGCCCTCCGCTCCGTCCGCTCCTGATGGCCGAGCGGCCCCTCGCGGCCCCTTGTAGCCTGTCCCCGGCTGGCCGAGCGGCCCCTCGCGGCCTGTCTCACCATCCCCGGCTGGCTGAGCGGCACCCCCTGCTGTCCCCGGCTGGCCGAGTGGCCCCTCGTGGCCCCCCTGCTGTCCCCGGCTGGCCGAGTGGCCCCTCACAGCCTGTCCCGCTGTCCCCGGCTGGCCGAGTGGCCCCTCGTGGCCCCCCCTGCTGTCCCCGGCTGGCCAGCGGCCCCTCGCGGCCTGTCCCGCTGTCCCCGGCTGGCCGAGCGGCACCCACTGTAGATGAGACCCCCGGTTCTCTGCTCCTGTGGAGGGGCAGTGACGCAGCCCCGGGGCCCTGTGTCCACTGAGGCCTCTGCCAGGCCGCCCTAGCAGGTCACCCTCTGGGTCGCGAGGGCGGTGCCAGGTACGGGAACCTGGGGATCCCCGGACAGAGTGCGCCGGCCCCGCCCGCCCGCGCCCTGGGTGGGGGAGGGGTGTGCGGTGAGGGGCGACCGCGCCTGGGCTCTGCCCGGATTCTCCAGAGGAAGCTGGGCTCGGGGCTGCGGCTGGTGACCCTGGGCTCCTGAGGGGCCCGCCCTCCTGCCCCGAGGTGCCCGTCCTGCGTGGGGGCTCCCCGTCCTCAGAGTGGCCAACCCCCACCCGGCATCTGGGCCCCGGCGCCCCAGGCCTGCTCGCTGAGGGCGGAGCCAGGGCCCCCCACCCTGGTGCTCCTCTGGGGTCCCCTGGGGGCACTTCCTGATCCTGCCGCAGGGACACTTTCTCGCAGGCTGGGAGGGGCGCCCCACAAATGCAGAAGCTCCCGGAGAAACAGGAAGGCCGGCTCTGGGGGCCCCGGGGCTGGGGGGGCCGTGAGGGCTCCTGGTCCCACGCCAGCCGGGACCCTGTGTGGGCGGAGCCAGCGGCCCTCGGGGGAGGTACGTGTCTGGGACGCTGCCCCTCGCAGGGGTCGGGATGGCGTGGGCCAGCCGTGGGCTGAGACGGCAGGGGCAGGGGACCAGCTGGCCGTCCCCCACGGGGGGCACAGCCGCGTCCTTTCAGTTTGCCCAGGGCGTGACGTGGGCCCCAGCAGCCCCCGCCCCCACCTGCTTGGGCCGGGCCTCGCACGGGGGTCTCGGCCCTGCCCGGCTCCTGTCACAGAGCTCCGGGCCACCACATTCTAGAAGTGGCTCAGGGAAGGCGGGAGGGGCTGAGGGGCGGGCCCTGTGGAAGCAGGGGGGTGGGGGAGGCACCCCCAGATCCCAGGGCGGCTGGCGCCAGCTCCTCCTCAGACCGCGCCCGCCCCACCAGCCTCAATGGCTGCTTTCACGGCAAGGACAATGCCGGTGCTGTCGGGGGCGCCACCGCCCCGCCCACCCCCAGGGTTCAGGACGGCCCCTCCCGGTGGTGCCAGGCAGGGACGGCGCAGGGCTGCAGCCTCTCCCCGCCCTTTGTCCCCCGTGTCCCAGGGCGAAGCTGGGGCCGGGCTGGCCTCCCGAGCCTGTCTCCCCGCGGGTGGTGGGCACGCTAAGTGGCGGCAGTGGGGAGCCACGTCAGCTCCCCGTGGGGGGAGGTGTGGCCCTCCCGGCTGAGTGACAGGTCCAGGACGAGGCGGGGTCAAGGGTCACGAGGGTCCGGCTGGGGCCTGGCGTGATCCCCACGCCCTGGCCCGCAGCTCAGACCCTCCGGGGTGGGCTGTTGCCTGCTGGCAGCAGTGCAGGGATGGTGCCCGGGCTGTGGCCTGCAGCTGCCACGGAGAGCCCCGCCTACCCCCACCTCGGTGTCTGGAGCCCTAGCAGGACCACCGGGGAGGGCCGCGTCCCTTGGATGGCCCTGTGCCCGGGCTGTGCCCAGAGGGTTCGGCAAGTGACAGGAAGCAGAGCGGAGTGGACAGAGCTGACAGCCGGGGCCCAGCTGGTGACCGGCTCCGGGCTCGCCAGGGCTGGTGCTCGGCACAGCGGCCTCTCCCGGGAGCCTGCACTGGCTCAGGCCCCCGTGTGGCTGGGGTCGGCTCCAGGGAGAGGCCGCCCCGGAACCAGGCCTGCCGCCTCACGGTGAGGTCGCAGTGCGCGTGCTGCCCGGGGCCGTGTCGGCAGCTCAGGCTCCAGGTGGCCTGTGCCGAGCCCAGCGAGGAGTGGACCCCCACAGGGCGGGGCCTCCATGGGGATGTCCCTCCTCCGCCGGGGGCTACAGGCCCCCACAGCCGCCTCGGCTGGCATTGGGAGTCGCCACACACATGGGTGGGTTTGCATCCCCAGCCCCGGGCGGTAAGATGTAGGGAGGGTCCATCGCACCAGGAGCAGCCGGCCCCTGCAGCCCTGCCTGCTTTCTGCCCTGCATCTTTGCCTCGTGCGGTCCGTGTTGCCGTGCGCATGAGTGTGGCCCGTCCGTGTCGCCGTGTGCACGTGTGTGGCCCGTCCGTGTCGCCGTGCGCATGAGTGTGGCCCGTCCGTGTCGCCGTGTGCACGTGTGTGGCCCGTCTGCGTCACCATGCGCATGCCTGTGGCCCGTCCGCGTTGCACCTGTGCGGCCTGCGTCACTGTGTGCACGTTGTGTGGCCCGTCTGCATCCCCTGTGCCACAGCGCGGCTGCCTGGCCGTCCCTGGGGCCCCCAGGTGGAGTCCCGTTTGCGGCGGGGGGAGGGCAGGTGCACAGCCTCTCTCGGTCCCCGCCACTCCCCAGCCCACGCCCGGTGCGTGGGAAGCGCCGTCCACCAAGTGTTCCCGCTCAGGGACGCTGTGTGCAGAGGCCACCGGCGGGGCCTTGGCATGGGCTGACCCTCGGCCGCCCAGCAGGTGGCGCTGGGGAGGAGCTGGCTGGTCCTCAGGAGGGCAGGGCTGTGGTGGGTGTGGCAAGGCCGCTGGGGCCAAGGGCAGGGAATGCCGAGGGGCCGTGGGGTGAGCCCAGGGCGGCCACGCTCCTTTCTCAGGAAGGACGTGAGGCTCGCGTGGGCTGGGGACTGGTGAGGGCCCGGCCGAGAGCTCGGTGCCAGCGTGGGTGCCTGGCCACTGGGCCCTCGGCGGAGGCGGTCGCAGCCCTGGCCGCTGTGCCCAAGCCGGCTCTGGCTTCCCAGGGCGCTGCTGCCACCTGCTGGGCACGGTGGGCATGGCGGTGGGCCTGGGTGGAGAAGCCCCTGGGGTCCTCAGCTGGGGCTGCTGTTTTGCCTCTGAGCCTGTCTCCCGGTCACCCGCTTTGCTCCAGAAGGCTGGCCCCGGCGCCGGGAGGAGCCCTGTGGACGGACTTCCGGGCAGAGCCGGGCCGGTGCGCGTCGGTCAGAACAGGGCTCCTAGGAGAGCCCTGCTAGGCTGGGGACATGGTGGCCCTGGTCCCCACGCGGCAGAGGGCTTGCCTGCTGGGGAGAGGGTGCCCTGTAGGGGCACGGGGCCGAGCCGGCCCCTCCCGTGGGTGAAGACGCACGGGTCCTGCATCAGTGGGGCAGAGGCCGCCTGGTCCCCACCTCATCCCCTACCTGGTCCCCTGGCCTTGTCCCCCACCTCACCCCGTGCCTGCTCCCCTGGCCTTGTCCCCCGCCTGACCCCCCTGCCTGCTCGCCCGCTGGGTCCCCACCTGGTCCCCTGCCTCATCCCTGGCCTCGTCCCCCTCTGGGTTCCCGGGCTGAGCTGGGTGGGGCAGGGATGGCCCCCCAGGCTCCGGGCGGCCCCTTTGCTGTCTCTGGTTCCGGTGGCCACACAGCTCCTCCTTCTTTTTAAAGGTTTATTTACTTGAGAGAATTAGGCTTCCATCCGCTGGTTCACCCCCAAATGGCCACAACGGCCAGAGCTGGGCCTGGCTGAAGCCAGGAGCCAGGAGCTCCCTCCAGGTCCCCCACGCGGGTGCAGGGCCCAGGGACTCGGGCTGTCGTCTTCTGCTCCCCGGGCCCCAGCAGGGAGCAGCGGCAGCCGGGACTGGCACCGCGCACAGGGGCTCGGGACCCCCAGCTGGAGATGACGCCTTGGCACAGGCGGCGAACCGTGCGCCGTAATCGGAGGCCACCCGAGGGAGCCCTGGCTGTGGGTGGCTGCGGCCTGGGCCTGGGGAGGCAGGGTGTCAGTGCGGCCCTGGCCCTGCCCTGCACCCACCCAGTGGCAATGGGGCAGTGGTCCTGGAGGCGTCTGCACAGGGCTGGGGGCTCCTGTCTGGGAGCTAGGACCTTCAGGGCCATGGGCGGGGCCTCCGTCAGGAAGGGGCGGGCAATGGGTGAGATCCCGCCCAGGTGCTGTCACTCACGGTGGTCGGACCTGGGTGTGGGCGGGACTTTGCCGTGGGCCACAGCGCGTCTCTCGGTCTGTGCGCCCCTCCAGGGTACCGCGAGGGCTTCCTGTGGAAACGCGGCCGGGACAACGGGCAGTTCCTGAGCCGGAAGTTTGTGCTGACGGAGCGGGAGGGGGCCCTGAAGTACTTCAACAAGAATGACGTGAGCAGGGGACACACGCATGGGTCTTGTGTGAAGGTCGGGCCGCCCCACGGGGTTGGGGGCCACGGATCGTGGGCGGGCAGTGGCGGCCTGGGTGCCTGCCCTCGGCCTTATGGCCGTGCAGAGCCCACGGGGGCCTCGTGGCCACACCCCCTCAGCAGAGCCAGCCAGGACCCCCGAGCCAGTGCGCATCGGGGGCCCTGGGGACCCCGGGGGGTGTCGGTGAGGAGCGCCAGCCCCTTGTGCCCACCCCGCCGGCCTCAGCCTTGCCCTCCCCCCCAGGCCAAGGAGCCCAAGGCCGTCATGAAGATCGAGCACCTGAACGCCACCTTCCAACCGGCCAAGATCGGCCACCCGCACGGCCTGCAGCTCACCTACCTGAAGGACAACAGCACCCGCAACATCTTCCTGTACCACGACGACGGCAAGGTGGGCGCCGGGAGGGGCCGAGGCCCCGGGCGGGAGCAGCCGAGGCCGCGGGCGGGAGGGCGGACACCGGGAGGGGCCGAGGCCGCGGGCGGGAGGGTGGGCGCCGGGAGCGGCCGAGGCCCTGGGCGGGAGCAGCCGAGGCCGCGGGCGGGAGGGCGGACACCGGGAGGGGCCGAGGCCGCGGGCGGGAGGGTGGGCGCCGGGAGCGGCCGAGGCCCTGGGCGGGAGCAGCCGAGGCCGCGGGCGGGAGGGCGGGCACCGGGAGGGGCCGAGGCCCCGGGCGGGAGCAGCCGAGGCCGCGGGCGGGAGGGCGGGCACCGGGAGGGGCCGAGGCCGCGGGCGGGAGGGTGGGCGCCGGGAGCGGCCGAGGCTGTCCCTGGACAGCGGCACCCAGCCCTGCCCCTCGCCGCCCTGGCCTTCCTGGGAGCCCCTCCTCGGGCAGAGGCCACGGCCCGTGGCTCCCCTCTCTCCCGCTCTGCTCTCGGGGACGTCCCCCGGGCTCGTGCCCGTCGGCGGCGTGGCTTCTGCGAGCTCTCGAGGCTCAGGGTCCCCCAAGCTTCCTTGTCTCTGCTCAGCTGGCTCCCGGTGTGGGGGAGCTGGGCCTGGCCAGGGCCCAGAGACGGCCTCGGTGCGACGCTGCCGTCACCCGTCCCAGGCCCACTCCGGGAGGACCTGGTGCTCCGGGCCGTGCGGTCTCCCTCCTCCATCTGGGTGGCCCAGTGCCGAGCCAACCTGCAGCCAGGGGTGGGAGGGGACTTCCTGTGGCTGGAGGGTCCGGAGGAGGCGGTGGGCACCTGCTCTCCCCTGGGTGGGTGGTGTGGCAGGCGGCCGCCTAGGGCCTGCGGCCGAGGCCGATGAGGAGAGGTGGGCTGGCCGGGCCCTCAGGTTGGGACCACCTAGTGCTGGCTGGGTGTCATGGTCCGTGGTGTGGCCCTGGGAGATGAGAGGTGGGGTCCAGAGGGGCCCGGGCAGCCCTGGGCCACAGCCTCGCTCCATGTGGCCTGGCCCCCGAGAACCAGGCGGCCTCCTGGCCTCAGCCCGGTGGGCACGTCCTGGCCATGTGCGCCCCTGCCCGGGCCCCACCCGCGGCCCCCTCGTTCGCCCGAGCCCACCGTGCGCCTGCTCTCGGCCCCTAGGAGATTGTGGACTGGTTCAATGCGCTGCGGGCCGCCCGCTTCCACTACCTGCAGGTGGCCTTCCCCGGGGCCAGCGACGCAGACGTGAGTGGGCGGGGGCGTGTGGCGGGCCGGGGCGGGGGGGCGCGCGGGGGGCTGGCCCGGCCCCGCCCTCACCGCCCTCATGTCCTAGCTGGTGCCGAAGCTCTCCAGGAACTACCTGAAGGAAGGCTACATGGAGAAGACGGGGCCCAAGGTGGGTGCAGGCCGGCGGCCCCGGGAGCCCCTGCCGGGGGTGCACAGGGCAGGGCCGGGCAGGGCTGGGCTAGGGCAGGGCCAGGCTGGGGGTGCACAGGGCAGGGCCGGGCCGGGGTATGCAGTGCCGGGGGTGCACAGGGCAGGGCAGGGCAGGGCAGGGCCGAGCTGGGGGTGTGCAGGGCCGAGGGTGTGTAGGGCAGGGCTGGGCTGGGCCGCGCCGCCCCCTCATGACCGCCCCTGACCCGCAGCAAACCGAGGGCTTCCGGAAACGCTGGTTCACCATGGACGACCGCCGGCTCATGTACTTCAAAGACCCCCTGGTGAGGGGCTGGGCCGGGGGGGGGGGGGCGCCTGGCAGGTGGGTGGGGGCGGGAAGCAGGCTCGAGCCCAGCCCTGTCCTCTGGCTCCGCCCACAGGACGCCTTCGCCCGTGGGGAGGTCTTCATCGGCAGCAAGGAGAGCGGCTACACGGTGCTGGGGGGGCTCCCGCCGGCCACCCAGGGCCACCACTGGCCGCATGGCATCACCATCGTCACGCCCGACCGCAAGTTCCTGTTCACCTGTGAGACGGAGGCGGACCAGCGGGAGTGGGTGCAGGCCTTCCAGAAGGTGGTGGACAGGCCCATGCTGCCCCAGGAGTATGCAGGTGAGGCGGGGGCGTGGCCAGGCCTGCGGGGTCCGTGGGGTGGGGGCGTGGCCAGGCCTGTGGGGTCCGTGGGGTGGGGGCGTGGCCAGGCCTGTGGGGTCCGTGGGGTGGGGGTGTGGCCAGGCCCGCGGGGCACCCCTGCCCGTGTGGCTGGGACCAGGCCAATGCCCGTTCTGTTTCTAGTGGAAGCCCACTTCAAGCATAAGCCCTAGCGCGCAGCACCGCCCACCTGGGGACCACAGACTCACGTGGCTGACGTGGCTGAGGAGCTGGAGGCTGGACCAGGGAGGGGCTGTGGACGCAGGGAGCCCGGCCAGGTAGGGTCTGGGCCGCATCACGAGCAGACTGCCCAGGCGACCCCTGGCTTGGAGCAGGGCCCCGTGGGCCTGGCACTGGGACTCTGCCCCTCCCCTGCCCCGCCCCCCCCTCAAGTATTTATTGTGCACCTGCTGTGGTCCTGGAGCCTGGGCCGTTGGCCCTGGTCCCCACACTGACCCAGCCCCGGTCCTGGGGACCCTCTGCTGGCTGGAGGCCCCCACCCCCCGGGCCCCTGGCTTGGCAGACGGGTTGCCCAGCCCTCGCCTGTGGGGACCCAGTGGCCTGCGTGCCAGACACTTGGTGCTGATGATGGCCGGTGCCCGCCCGCCCGCCCACCCTCACTGCTGGCCCCGCACCCAGCTCACCCCTCCCTGCTTGCTGCTGGTGGGCCAACGGTGGGGGCCGCGGTGTGCGCGCCCTGTGCCCCAGCTGCACAGAGCACCCCTGCAGGTGACCGGGGTGGACCCCTCTCAGCCCTGCCTGGCACGACTGGGGGGGAGCTGCGCCCCCGCCCCGCCCCTCGTGCCACGTCCACTACCGCCCAGGCCAGACTGGGCCCCAGGTGTGTCGAGTGCACACACGGGCAGCCCCGCGTGGGGGCAGTGCGTGGGAGGACGTGGACAAGCGTGATACGAAGCCCAGGATGTGGCTGTGCTGGTGGGGAACCCCGGTCTGGACCCAGGACATCACGCGTGTCGGAGGTCTCGCGGCGTCCCGAGGTGTGGGGGCAGGAAGGGCCGGCTCTGTGCGGCCGCAGCCATGGGTGGCCCCGGGCCCTCGCTCCCCCACCCCAGGACCCTGGCCGCCGGGGCCGGGCGCACGCGCTCAGAGGACCCTGGCCGCCAGGGCGGGCGCGCGCGCTCAGAGGACCCTGGCCGCCGGGGCCGGGCGCGCGCGCTCAGAGGACCACGCTGCGAGCCGGTAGAAAGGATTTATTTACACGCGTGCTGACAGAGCTCCCCGACGCCCCGCACGGCGCACGCGGCCGCCGCGTGTCCTCCACAACCCCCTTTCAATTGTGAAGAAATAAAGTGTCCACACCTCTCGGTGCCTGCTGGCCTCTGCGCGGTGGCGGGACGGCGCGGGGACAGCCGGAGGGGCCGCAGCCCTGGCCCGGGGACGGGCGCGGTGAGTGCAGGCCGCCTGCCCACACGCGCGCCCTCCCCACGGGCCGGCAAACAAGGCAGCGGGAGAGCGGCGCCACGGCGAGGCCTGTGCTTTATTGGGGGAGCGCAGGGGACACGGGCCCCGAGCCGCCTGGCCGCCTCACACACATACAGACGCCCGGCGTGGCGCCGCCAGCCTCGGCCCGAGGGCCCGCCGGCGCGAGGAGCCCCGTCGCGGGCGCCCGTCCGACCCGTGCCCGCGTCGGCGGCCGCGCTCAGTCCAGCTCGATGGGGCTGCCGCCGCAGGGGCTCTCCTCGCCGTCCTCCTGCTCCGAGGCGCCCATGAGGCTGCTCAGCAGGTCCCCTGCAGGGCACGGCGGGCGCGTGAGCAGGGCCGCCCCATGGGCGGAGGCTCCCACTCAGGGCCAGGGCCTCGCCCCGGGAAGGAGCCCCTGCCCGCAGCGGCCTCAAGTCCACCCGGCCGCGGGAGGCGGGGCCCTGGCGAACACGAGAACCGCGATTCCCGATCGCGACACAGAATGTAAAGGCCAGCGGGGAGCGCCTGGGCGGCCGCGGCGTGGGGCACCCTGGAGCCACGGGGGGGGGGGGGGGCTTACCGAGCAGGCCTCCGTAGGACGACGTCTGCTTGGGCGGCACCCCGAAGAAGAGCTGGCCTATGCGGTCGAGGTACTGCGGGGAGGGGGCCGTGAGGCACGGGGTGCCGGCCGGGGCGCCCACCCCCACCCCCACCCCCAGCCCGGGACACACGGTCGAGGCGCTGCGGGCCCGAGCAGGCCGCCCCCACGCGCCGGCCCTCACCTCGTTGTACATGGGGTCCCTGCGCAGGGACGGCTGGTACTGCTCACACAGCACCGTGAACACCGTCAGCTTCCCGCTGAAAGACAGGGCCCCGCGTGACGCCAGCGCCGCCGTGACCGCAGCCCCGCCCCGCCCCGCCCGCCCGGCCCGCCCCCGCGGGCTCACCCGTCCACAGCCAGCAGCAGGAACCAGATGAAGTTGAGCAGGGGCTGCACGAAGGGGGGCCCGCCCTCGATGGACGGGTGCTTCTGCGTGTACGTCGTGAACACCACCAGCGCGCTGCTCTTGTTCTTCAGACACAGGAACCTGCGGGGACCCTCCGCTCACAGCCCCGCCTCCCCCCCTCCGCTCACAGGCCCCGCCTCCCCCCTCCGCTCACAGGCCCCGCCTCCCCGCACTGCCCCTGCTCTGGGCGGGGACCCCTCCGCTCACAGACCCCGCCTCCCCGCACTGCCCCTGCTCTGGGCTGGGGCTCACAGCAGACCCCCCCCCACTGCCCCTGCTCTGGGCGGGGCTCACAGCAGACCCCGCCTCCCTGCACTGCCCCTGCTCTGGGCGGGGCTCACAGCAGACCCCCCCCCACTGCCCCTGCTCTGGGCGGGGCTCACAGCAGACCCCGCCTCCCCGCACTGCCCCTGCTCTGGGCTGGGGGCTCACAGCAGACCCCGCCTCCCTGCACTGCCCCTGCTCTGGGCGGGGCTCACAGCAGACCCCCCCCCACTGCCCCTGCTCTGGGCGGGGCTCACAGCAGACCCCGCCTCCCCGCACTGCCCCTGCTCTGGGCTGGGGGCTCACAGCAGACCCCGCCTCCCCGCACTGCCCCTGCTCTGGGCGGGGCTCACAGCAGACCCCCCCCACTGCCCCTGCTCTGGGCGGGGCTCACAGCAGACCCCGCCTCCCCGCACTGCCCCTGCTCTGGGCTGGGGGCTCACAGCAGACCCCGCCTCCCCCCACTGCCCCTGCTCTGGGCGGGGCTCACAGCAGACCCCGCCTCCCTGCACTGCCCCTGCTCTGGGCGGGGCTCACAGCAGACCCCCCCCCCACTGCCCCTGCTCTGGGCGGGGCTCACAGCAGACCCCGCCTCCCCGCACTGCCCCTGCTCTGGGCTGGGGGCTCACAGCAGACCCCGCCTCCCCGCACTGCCCCTGCTCTGGGCGGGGCTCACAGCAGACCCCCCCCACTGCCCCTGCTCTGGGCGGGGCTCACAGCAGACCCCGCCTCCCTGCACTGCCCCTGCTCTGGGCTGGGGCTCACAGCAGACCCCGCCTCCCTGCACTGCCCCTGCTCTGGGCGGGGCTCACAGCAGACCCCCCCACACACTGCCCCTGCTCTGGGCGGGGCTCACAGCAGACCCCCCCACACACACTGCCCCTGCTCTGGGCTGGGGGCTCACAGCAGACCCCGCCTCCCTGCACTGCCCCTGCTCTGGGCTGGGGGCTCACAGCAGACCCCGCCTCCCTGCACTGCCCCTGCTCTGGGCTGGGGGCTCACAGCAGACCCCGCCTCCCTGCACTGCCCCTGCTCTGGGCTGGGGCTCACAGCAGACCCCCCCACACACTGCCCCTGCTCTGGGCGGGGCTCACAGCAGACCCCCTCCCCCCGTGCAGTCATGGCTGCACGCCGGCGCACACCTGCTGCGGCACGGCTGGGCGGGGAGCGGACCCTGGCTTCTCTCCATGGGGCATGGCAGGCGCAACCCAGGGCTCCCCGGGCAGTGCCCTGAGCTTGGGGCAGAGAACGTGGCCACGCCGCGTGCCACGGCGCCAAGACTGGTGCCTCTCAGATTTTAAACAAACCCATCATGGGGGCCTGTGCCGCCCGCGCTACCCCATCACCGCAGGCCTGTGCCGCCCACGCTACCCCGCCACGGGGGCCTGTGCCGTCCACACTACCCTGTCACCACGGGCCTGTGCCGTCCACACTACCCCCGTCACAGGGGCCTGTGCCGCCCGCACTACCCCCGTCACAGGGGCCTGTGCCGCCCACGCTACCCCCGTCACGGGGGCCTGTGCCGCCCACGCTACCCTGTCACCACGGGCCTGTGCCGTCCACACTACCCTGTCACAGGGGCCTGTGCCGCCCACGCTACCCCGCCACGGGGGCCTGTGCCGCCCACGCTACCCCGCCACGGGGGCTCGGTGCGAGCCAGGCCCGAGCAGGGAGGCACGGCCGCGCTCAGCTCCCGCCCTGCCCCCAGCACCTACTGCAGCACGGCCTGGGCCACGAACATGTCGGCCTCGCTGCGGAAGCCCCTGGAGGTGGAGTACTCGACCAGCATGTGCGCGCAGCCCTCGCCGTCCGTCGAGTGCAGGAAGTGGTACCGCGACTCGCAGTAGTTCTGCTCTGCAGGGCGACAGCGAGGTCTCTGCCCAGGCCCTCGCCGCCCCGCGCCCGCTCGTGGGGGCTACACCACGCACACCCCCACGGAGCCCTGGACACCCAGACGGCCCCTTCACGTAGACGCCGGGCCTCAGGGCCGGCACAAGGGGACGGGCTGCCCACACCCGGCCAGGCAGGACACCCGGGCCTCACCGGACGCCCCCTGCACACCGCCCCCCCCAGCAAGATGGTCCAGGGCAAGCTGGTCCCCTGTGCGCCGCCCCCAGGGCAGCTGGTCCCCCTGTGCCCCACCCCCCAGGGCAGCTGGTTCCCATGCCCCGCCCCCAGGGCAGCTAGTCCCCGTGCCCCACCCCCCCAGGGCAGCTGGTCCCCCTGTGCCCCGCCCCCCAGGGTAGCTGGTCCCTGTGCCCCACCCCCAGGGCAGCTGGTCCCTGTGCCCCGCCCCCCAGGGCAGCTGGTCCCTGTGCCCCGCCCCCAGGGCAGCTGGCCCCCGTGCCCCGCCCCCAGGGCAGCTGGCCCCCGTGCCCCGCCCCCAGGGCAGCTGGTCCCGTGCCCCGCCCCCAGGGCAGCTGGCCCCTATGCCCCGCCCCCAGGGCAGCTGGCCCCCATGCCCCGCCCCCAGGGCAGCTGGTCCCCCGTGCCCCGCCCCCAGGGCAGCTGGCCCCGTGCCCCGCCCCCAGGGCAGCTGGCCCCGTGCCCCGCCCCCAGGGCCTCGATGACGACCATGGACGAGGCTCGCCCCGCCCCACCTTTCCACAGAGTGAGGGCCAGCAGCTGGTGCAGTCGGGGGTGGCCCAGCTTCCCAGAGCCTCCGCTGGACCACTTCAGGGCCCGGGACACGAAGGCCACTCGCTCAGGAGAATTCGGGTCCATCAGGCCGAACAGCGTCGCCAGGTTCTCTGGAACAAGAGTGGACCCTCAGCCCGGGCCCGGGACGCAGGCAGCGGCCACCACGGGGTGAGCGGTTGCAGGAGCCACACAGTGGAACAGCCGCTCACAGACTAGAGACAGCTGGGCGGGCGCCCCCGCGTGCAGGGAGGGTGGGCTGTGGGGGGCAGCCAGCCCCAGCGTGCACACAGCTCTCTCCAGTCCCCGGCTCCGCCGCACCCTCTGCAGGAGCAGGGACGGCCGAGTGGGCCCCCGGGCCTCTGGTTGGGCAGCTCAAGGCTGGGACGCCGACAGGCCAGCGTCGCTCAGAGGGCAGTGACCGCGGGGCCGTGCCGGGCCGTGCCGCCCGTCAACACAGCTCGTCCTGTAAGGGCCACACAGAGCCGGCTCGGCAGGAGCGGCCCCCCAACACAAGGAGTCGCAGGCGAGGCTGGCTCAGACCAGCAGGGGGCAGCGTGCGGGCCTGCCACTCACCCAGCAGCTCCTCGGCCACGTCCACTTCCGCCTTCTCCAGGGACTCCAAGACCAGCATGGACAGGTCCGCAGCACTGTTTTGCTGCAGAACAAGGGCCACAGGTGAGAGACGGGGCACGGCCACGCAGGGAGGGCACAGGGCTGCCTGCACCCGACCACGCCCACTGGCACCCCGGCCACGCCCACCAGCAACCCGACCACGCCCGCCAACAACCCGGCCACGCCCACTAGCACCCCGACAACACCCACTAGCACCCCGACAACGCCCACTGGCACCCTGACAACACCCGCCGGCACCCCGACAACACCCACCAGCACCCCGACAGCGCCCACTAGCACCCTGACAACACCCACCAGCACCCCGACAATGCCCACTAGCACCCCGACAATGCCCACTAGCACCCTGACAACGCCTGC